TTCTTGAACGTTCCAGAGTGGTCAACATGTTCGGTCATTTTATCTAGAACATTCTTGAATTTTGTGTATGTCCAGATTGTTCCATTAATATCATGATTTAATAATTTCTAAAATATTCTAGATTTATGATATTGTATAAATACCCTGTCAATTCAATGCATAAATATACATTGTCGTATAAGCATCATTAAGGTATTATTGGGATATATTTTCACTGGGACATTGTGTGCAGCAACGGACACTCTGATGTATGTATTTTTAGATTCTTGCTAAGTTTGTACTTTATGTTTGATATATATTTATATATTACTGTAAATAAATTATTGTTAAGTTTAAATTGTGTTAATGGCATTTCGGGTAATTCTGACCCATAACACTGACAAAGGTAACCATTACCTGGTGGTTGTGGACCGCTACTCAAACTGGCCAATCGTAGACCAGTCAGCCGTTGGAGCTCAAGGACTGAAAACTTGTCTCAGACGCATCTTTGTCACATACCGGATACCTGACGAACTTGCATCTGACGGGGGACCAGAGCTCACAGCTACGACTACAAGGCAGTTCCTCAGAGACTGGGGTGTGCATCATAGATTATCCTCAGTAGCCTTCCCTCACAGTAACTGCAGAGCAGAGATTGGAGTCAAGACAGTCAAGCGCCTTCTAATGGACAATACTAGCTCTTCTGGTGACGTTGACACAGACGCTTTCAAGCGTGCTATGCTACAATACAGAAATACACCAGACAGAGACACGAAGCTCTCACCAGCCATATGCATATTTGGTTGACCAATAAGAGACTTCATCCCAATCCCACCTGGAAAATACAAGCCTCATCCAACATGACAAAGCACATCTCTTGCCCGTGAAGAGGCATTGCGGAACAGGCATATGCAATATGCAGAAAGACTCTCGGAACATACACACAGACTACCACCTCTTTCAGATGGAGACCATGTTCGCATGCAGAACCAAATTGGACCTTTCCCTCGCAAGTGGGATAAGACAGGAGGGAGTAGTCATTGAGGTTCGCCAGTTTGACCGGTATGTCGTGCGCATTGATGGCTCCAGACGTGTAACCTTACGGAACAGGAAATTTCTTCGCAAATATATTCCAGTTCAGTTGCCACCAAAGCGACTTACCATAGAAACTGATTCTAGTGCACATCCACCATTGTCTTCCCTGTTGAGGCCTGTCACATCTCCTGCTCTCACCATGGACACAACAGTGAAGCCTGGATCAACAACACCGATGAAAACAGTCACAATGCCGGAACAGTCACCCGTGCCTGCCACGGAACCCCCATCTGAGACACCTACTCCTATCAAGGTGCAAAAACCATGCCGTCAGCTCACATACACTGAGCCAAGCACCCAAGATGCCAGCTCTCCACCAGATGTTGCCAGAGAACAACCTTGTACAGAAGCAATAGTTGCTCCACCACCAACGATTGAGCCCACACCTACCCTGCCACGACGTACCAGCCGCGTCAGGCATGCTCCAGAATGGCAAAAAGACTTTGTTTGCGAATAAACTCACACACCATGAAATTTACAATCAGTTTATGAAGTCAATAAATGCAGACTTTCAACAGTGAATTCCAGCCCCTAATTGAAAAATCATTAGTCATTGATATTATCATGTGTTAAATATCAGTCTTTTTCATTCAGTTCCTTCATTTATAAACTAAATGGACACCTCCTACCAAAAGACTTAGGGGGAGATATAGGATAATGCTACAGTTTATTATAGTTTATCAGTAGTTTGGTACTACAGTATTATTATTGTTTTCTTTTATTTTCAGATCATGATCATTGTATGACACAGTTGATAAGGAATACTTATTAAAATTACAAATAGAAAGAACTTTTATTTACCCACTGTGTGTTCTTTTCTTACAGTGGCTGGAACGTTATTGTTGACAACGTACACGAACGATCACGTTACATGCACGATTCCGCACGATTAACGCACGATTAAACCTGATACACGAACGATCCTTCACGTTCAGGATTCTACACGTTACACGATCTTACACGATTGCTAACGCAATCGCACGATTCTTCACGCAAAATAGTTCAAATTATTTAGGAATCGATATCTCCAAAACGAAATACCGCTTTATATTGATTTTGGATTCAAATAATTATCAATAAATTTATTATATCATCGACTTCGAAAAAAAAAACGGATATGGGTATTTATGGTACTAAATACATGTAAGATTTTTTTTGCTATTTTAGATAATAAATAATTTTTTAGATAATTCTCCGACAAACGTAAACGGATTTTTTTGTTCTATCAGAAGATAGTAGTAGTTGGACCGTAAAATTTGATTGAATTAAATTTCATAATATGTAGAATTGGGGATACGATTGGGAGAAAAATGGCAGCATGGAATGACTTAACTTAAAAGTTATATCTATATGTTTTCATTACTTCAATATGTTTATGAACATAAAACACGACATTGCAAATTATTGTTTTACTTTAAAAATTAATTAAAAGTAAGCTACAGAGAAAAACACGGTTAAACAAAACCCCAAAAATCATTGCCGTGCATGTACATTTGCCGACTAAACATTTATGTCAGTTTTGAAAAATATTTATTTATTTTTAAAAACATTTCTTTTTGATTATTTGAAAAAAAAAAATATCTTTCCATAATTAGCAGCAAACAAGAATGATCTTCAAAAAAATATAGTAAAACATATTAGTACGGTTTATCACAATAAGTCACGCTACTTGACGAGGACATAATATTGTACGACTTACTATATTGCTTGTTTACAAGCGATAGTTAGTTCGTTCCGCATTTAATTATGTAAACTGCGCTTAATTCCTTTTATTTGGATTAAAAAATAAAATATAAACGAAATACTTGTTTCACAGATAACATTCCAATAAAAACTTACAAAACGAAATTTACACGTTTCTAAACGCACGTTCACCATGTTCACGCACAATTAAAACCGCAAACGATTGAGTTTGTTACACGCACGATCTTGCACGTTACACGAACGATCACGCACGATAAACGAACGATTCTACACGATTGGTTTGCCAACAATAACGTTCCAGCCACTGTAGGAAGATGCCCATCATTTGACACTGAAAGTTTTGAAATTCTGTAAATAATAAACTTGAAATAAATCATTTCATTAAGATTAGACAAAAACTAAAAATTTCTATAAAAAATATTTATGATATAAATACCCCCATCTGGATATTTGACATCTGCATTATAAGTGGTGATGTATTGAAATCTAAAATAAACTGTGGATGTAATGAGCCACCTTAATTGCAATTGACTTGACTTCCGTCAAAAATGCTGCGGCTGCCGAAATATCAAATGTATACTTTTTCATGGTCTCTTAAGGGTTTGCTTTTGTGTTAAATATGTTAATAAATACTTCTTGCTTTTTCATAAAACTTAACCCATGGCACCTTCTATTGTAAAGCTGTCGTGAAATATATTCAATTTTGTTGTCAATTGCAATGTCTTGCAGCAGCAATGTGCATATAACACTTGCAGGACTGCACAGCTGCAGGTCTAATAAAACAAAAACATGACATTTGTCGTATACCTACAGATAGTTGAACGTCATGGGTACAACTATTTGTTTTGTCCTTAGCAATTATATGCATCTTTTTTCTATAGTTGTATGTTTTTCACCACCTAGGCATGTCTACCATGCGAAATCGGTGGGCTGCCATTCTCATGATTCCGGAATTGAAAACAATCGAATATCTCTGTAATCTGTTGTCTCTAGTGCCCCAATTACACAAAACAATTGTAGAGAGATATCTCTTAAAACATGTTCATGAGTTGAAAGTATCGATCGACATATTTAATACTGTGTTTTCTAAGAGTTACATAGATGTTTACATTATATCATAGAATTCTTCTTCTTGGATTTTACAATGGACCTGATAAATAAATACGCGCCCAGTCTTAGCAGTTCCGATTAAAGTTAACCCCTGTTATTTCTTTTGCAGGTAAGGCTATAAAATACTTTTTGTTAAATAAGTATATAAAACCTACAGGTACAGTGTGATGTCAAAGTTTTTTAACAATATTGCACGAAAATAAAGAACTATATTCGCTATGCGTAGTTTATTCCTGAAGTCTGTCATGCGATATTCGGCTAAAGTGAAAGTAGGAGTTGGTAAGTAGAATTTTTGTGTTTATTGTGAATTATGAGCCTTATCTCAGATATCTTACATAACTCCTAGTGTCAGTAATACATTTTGAGTATGACAAAGCCTGTGATCTAGTGCACATCAATTTTAAATAGGTTAAACATTATACGGATGATCCAAAAATTTCCACGTGGTTCTTGCAGACCACGATTAGATAGCGAGGAACTAATAAATGTTACTTTGTTTCAAAATACCAAAAGTTTTCGAATTTGTTTCCAAATACTGTGAACATTGGTGAAGTTAAAAACAGGGCTTCAAAAATTATGAGTAGAGTAAATTTGGTTTCATTAATGAGGGATTAATACTTGTGTAAGATCGGATCATCCTTCATTGAGCCTCCGTCACTCAATGTTAAATGTCCAATGACGGCTACCTGAAACGGCTCTACGTAGTAAACAAATATGGTAAATCAGTTGTGTAACTTGTAAAGGAAAATTTTGATATTCAAATGTTATTTCTTTTTTGCTGTATTTTTTTTGTGAAAAGAGGTGCACATGGTGCAAGTATTATAATTCTTTATATAATGATATTCACATTTGATTGTACTATTTATATACAAGTCATTTTGGACCATACTCATTCTGATTTGCTAATGATGTTCGAGATATTGAAGCAAACCTCTATTCTTTTAAGACCTCAGTGATAAAAATTTTTGGGATGCATTTTCAGTAAATAAAAACCATTCAGTCAAAACACTGACACCGTTCAACAAAGACAGTTATACTAATATTATTTAATAGCTAGATTTAACTTAAAGAACTTCCTTCGAACTTTTTAATAAAATTTATTGTAACTATGTTTACCATGTTTATAGAATGCCTTGTTTCACTAAAAAGAACATTGCTCAGATATTTTCTCTGGACTACCAATTTCTGTACTTCAAGTGATGCCTGTGTTGCAGCCCTCCCAAGAACCTCCCTTGTAGGTGTTCTTTAATAAGGTATGAGATGAGTTTTATATCATAATGAGATGATTCTGTAAATTTTACCCGAGGGTTTAACACAGTATAATGTACTAGCTGTTATATCACAGTGAGCTTATTAGTCAGTTTCATTTTGTATTATTGAATTCAAATGTTCTTCTATGTGTATAGAATGGAAGAATGTATAATTTTTATGATGAGAAATGTATATGCAGTTGGATGAAAAGAGAGATGTTGTTTAAATAAATTTTGTATACGTGTCCATCAAATTGCCTCAAGCCATGGTCAGAGTCTGCCTACAGCTCTCTCTTACAGTGCAAGAACTAACTTTGTTTCAGCATCGATGGTATTTAAATGCTTTCTTTGCTTGCTGATGCTGATATTGGCAATGCTTAGCAGCTAGCTGTTTTTTAAAATGCTTATCCTGATGCTAGGTGGTTGCTGAATTAGAGCTGATGCAGATGCTTATTTTGCTGATGCAGATGCTGATTTATGTAACAAAAATAGTTCCTTGTACTGTACCCATGGCTGCTTGAGCAAGTAAATTAATAATCAAGCCATATGTAGGCCTATAACATCATGTTATAAATCAATGTACATGTATATTGCATTGACCTTAACAGTAAACAACAAATGTTCGGTAAATAGTCTGGATGAAGAAAATAAGGTCACATCAGAGATTATTTTTAAGTAAAAAAAAATCTTCAATCTCTTTTGGGAGGGACTGTTTCTGATCATCATCTTGTAGCTTACTAACAGTAACACATGTCATTATATCAGGTTTTTAAAATTCTGCTATCAAATCCTGATCTTGTCATTTAACCTTAAGATTTTGTACTGAAACTTGTTTGCCTCATTAATATGAACATGATCTTATATGCTTGTCTCATTTACTTCCCAAAGAAGAATGACATGATCACCAGTTGAGTTTACCTTGATCTTATTTATGGCTGACCTCTTTGTATACAAATTAGAATATTTATCTCTAGTATATGGATTAAACAAATGTGATCTACACAATTGTAAATTAAAATGAGAAACACATGTATATTCAATGCAACAAACAGTTTTGGCAAATATTTACAATGTTACCATAATTGCTGAGGGATGTGTAACCTTTGACCCTGAAATATACTTGTCTATCTTTCAATGCTTCTTTCTTAGTCATGATGTATAGATTTATCATCCAATTCAATTTTCTTTGATAGTGATACTGTATTGGTTTTTTAGTGTTATGTTATATTATTTTACAGATTTCAAAGATAAAGAGGAAATGGTTCTAATGATAGAGATTGTCCATGTTGGTTTGTCTCAATCTTTTGAAAAACAGTGTTGGAGAAAATATCAGCAACATATGAAGACTCTGATCTAATTTATTACAATGTGACCTGAAAGTTATTTGATTTTATGGTAGTATTTACAGATGCATTGAACTTTCCGAACATCGTTGAAAAAGATCATATGATGACAATAAACAAAAATACATATATGAACTTTCCACAAGTTTCCAATGAAGAACATTTTGGGATCTTGGAAAGGATATTATAATTTGATTTTTTACCTAATTTTTATGTGTTCTTGTGCAGTGCATTAAATGCACAACATGTTTTTAAATCAGACTTTTGAAACCAGTGCTGAGAACAGAGGTCTTAGATATCCTCATACTGCAGTTATACTGTTAAGATTGAAGTTTATTTTTAAAATTATACCTTAATTATATCGGCAAAGAAACTTAAAAAAAAAAATTAGTCAAACTTGTATATGCTGGTTTTAACATGTTAAAAGAAATATAATATTCTGGAAGTGATGAAATTTTTTTTTAAAAAGTTCATTTATCATCCTTTTGTTTTGTTCTTCTTTGTGAATTTTTTTTTACAATAATCAAAGACATTTTAATATCTTAATTAAGTCATCATTGCAAAAGGCTGTATGGAGCTTTTCTGATCAAAGGGTCTCTGGTGTCTGTTTATTTGTCATCCGTGAAAATTAAACCCTAAACTATGGTATCAAAGTCTTGCATGGGAATGTGTAGTAAAAAATGGTCCTTTAACAAGCAACAGGGTAATGATTTACTCATAATTAAATGTGAGCATTCTCAAAAATAGTGAAGATTCAAGTTGGTCTAAATCATGGACCAGACCTAATATTAATAATATTAAAATATTTCCCATTTGTATTTTCATTTTTTTTCTTCTTCTGGGATCAGATTATATATAACTGGTCAATGCATGTACAGGGGCGGATACAGGATTTGTGGTTAGGGGGGCGTGGATAAATTTGTTGAGGCAAGGGTTCTGGGGGCCGCCTTAAGGCCCCCAGTGGGTTCAGGGCAAAGCCCTGGTGGGGGCCCAGGGGGCGAAGCCCCCGAAAGCTCCCGGGTTTTTGTGTATTTTATGCCCTGTTCACACGAGAAGTTTAATTCGCAGTAAATTAATGCGAAGTAAGCTAATGCGAATCAAACTAATGCGAATTAAATTGCGTTCACACGACAGCTAATGCGAAGTAAACTAATGCGAATTAAAATTTTACTTCAACAGCCAGGCGTCAGGAAGGCTATTATGATGTCGTTTGAAAATCACGTCAGCTTATGCAGAAGCAGATGCATTTGACATAATGTCACAGTGTCTGGAGACATATTTTAGTGATTAACACATTTTTTTCTTAGTTTTTCACTCAAAAATAGCACAAATAATTAAAACTGACCACCGACTTGATGCATTTGACTTAATTTTGCCATTACGCATGCCCCAAAATTTAATTCGAATTAGCTTCGCTTAGCGTTCACACGGAGCTAATGCGAAGTAATTTAATGTGAAGTAAACTAATGCGAAGTAAACTAATTCGCATTAAATTCTCCGTGTGAACGCTAAGCGAATCTAATTTGCAGTAAACTTATGTTTAATTCGAATTAAACTCTCCGTGTGAACAGGGCATTAGAGTAAAACCAGGCACAATAATAGTGCATATTTTTCAATTATTTTTGTTAAAAGTGGCATACATGCAGGTCCAGATGTTTGAATAATAATTGTATTGAATGTTTCTCAATTCTCATTGTATTGTAACACATGCCACTATAATAAACTTTACTTACTTATTACTACTGGGGTATTTAATAGTGGTATTGGTTAGTGATGTACCAAAGTAGGACGTGTTTAATACTAGTCATATTATACTTTGAATGGTGGGGGCCCAGCCGGAAGCTCCTGGATTTTTGTGTATTTTAAGAGTAAAACCAGGCAGAATACATGTAATAGTGGTTTGGTTAGTTTTGTACCAAAATGTGGCATTATAAATATTAGTCAAATCATAATATGAAAATTTTAGGGGGGGGGGTGCGCCCCCCACGCCCCCCCCCCCCTTAAATCCGCCAGTGATGTATACATACATGTGGGGAAAAACCAGTAAACATTTTTCTTCCGAATAAGCATTGTTAGCCATATTAATGATGAAATTTGCTCATGTTGTGGAATCAATTTTGGATTAGATGTGGTCTTATGACCCCTAAGTGGGGCCAAAATATTGGCCCATATTTGTTTTTCATGAGAATTAAGGGGGATAAGAATGTTGTAGAAATCTTAAGAACACCAATATGACTCAGTAGTAAACATTATGGGCCAAGTGTCATTTAAATTGCACATTTTCATTACCCTACAGATTGTTAATCTCTTATTTAGTATATTTTTTTAAGGAGAAAATTAATTGTCTAACATTAATTTCCCTGTTTTGTACACACCTTAGAGTAATCCTTTAGATAAATTTGGGCTTTCATATAAAGTGCTATTTATAGAACAACAGTGAGTCTCTTTAATTCTATTTCTAACACATTGCCATGTGGTTGGCACTACTTTCATGGCTAACATTTTCTTGTTGAACTGACAAGTGTGCATTTAAAGAATTGTACCTGTTGCAGTCAGTTTTCATTTAAAACAATGGTTCTTCACAAATAGTTGTAGCCTCTTTGTTTATTTAACTATTTCATAATTTTTTGGATTTTTTAATGCACTGCTAAAACCTGTGGCTGCGCAGTCCTGCAGGTGTTTTGTGCACTTCATAGCTGCAAACTACTGCAAGTGTCAATGTAGCTGCATATACCCAAAGATGGTTTTCATTATGAAGATGAAATGGACCAGTTTTCAAGTGTTGGCAAGGCTTATTTTTAAAGATATTAAGGTTTCTATTTTCAGTTAGTCTCACTTGGCTGCACACAATAGCAAACCCTTAAGGCCCTTTCACAATTGGCGCACGAGCAGAAGCGACACATTATTCGTGCGACCCAATATTTTTTTTTATGATCGTAAACTGTTGTCAAAATAATCGCATATGAAAAAAGTGTTAGTACGAAACTTGCACGATCTAAAGCGACTGTTGTGCATTAAATCTTGCGATTTATCATGCGTCTATATGCGACTGTTGTAGAATGAAAGCGAGTGTTGTAAGATTATGCGATAGGGTTGCACGACTGATCAGGTAATCGGACGATTGAATGTGCGACAATACGACTGTTCGTGCGCTCATGCATTCCATAGTACGAATGTTCGTGCGAGTCTGAGGGCCGGGTATATATACGAGGGTTGATCCAAAAGTAATTTCACTGTGTCCATATCTTTAATATTTGGCGTCATATTATCAAATATTATGCACCAAAAGATGCATAAACAGAAATATAATCAAAATTGAAAATTTCATTTAATAATGTTCAATTGAATTCATTTTATAGATGTTAAAAACAGTAAATATAGGGGGTGTTGCCGCGTCACAACTAAACGTCACGTTTTAAAGTTAATATTGTTAGAATGAAAAAAGACAAACACATTTAAAAAGCATCTAAAAGATCGTCTAATCGTGCAATATTTTAAAAGACAAAATTAACGACATTTTCTAATCTTTAGTTAAAAATTAAATGGCAACATTGTTTTTTTTTCATCATAAACAGTATTGTTTATATCAGATGTATTGCAGAAAGGAAATGTCGAAATGGAATAAAACACCGAAACGAGTTGTAATGTATTTTTACCTTCAAAATCGGGAAATCATGAGTAGAAACAGTTATGATGGTAAATCAAACTCGCAGAGAAAAGAATGTTAACGAGAGACTTGTTTATAGATGGTTTCAAAGATTTTGGGCGGGTAATAGGTAAATAAATGATCATTTGGGGACAGAAATACCGAAATATATTTAGGTGCGGCGACTACCATAATCGCACTTAGTGTTTAATTTGATATTTTGAAAAGTATAAATAATTTTAATTTGAATTTTTCAGGACAGATTTAAAATAAAAATAGCTTCCATCATGTGAAATTTTGTTAATTTACGTCGACTAGGAGAAATTTTATCGAAGTTGTGACATTACTTTTGGACCAACCCTCGTACCACCCGTTTCCGACGCTCTTCAGTCGACATAGTGAAGATACTTATAATTATACACGGTATAATGTATACCTGTTGCAAAGCATGGCAATTGAAGGTGATAAATCAAGCAATGATAGTAAAACGTTGCAAGATTACATGAGACATGTTGAGTAACAGTCTCATGGTCACAAAACACACGCAAAGACAGCTGCAATTCATCTTACGATCTTTAAAAATCATGCATCACTCTTACGAGTACATAAAACGTTGTAAGACGTTCGTACTAATATTCGTTCGTTGAATTGCGATAATTGGGATCGCATTTGGTCGCGTCTGAATGGTGTGCATGTTGAGTATTTTGAGGAGACTTGATGCGACCTCTAAAACACATGCAATGAATGCGAGACATCGTGCAACGTATGCGATAGCTCGTGTGAAGCTAAAATTTTCCCTTCGGAAAGTGTTGTAAACAGCTCGTGCGCCAATTGTGAAAGGGCCTTTAAATGCATTTCAGAAGGTAGATAATGCTACGGCAGCCGCCACCAGGAATATTATGCCAGATAACTATCGGGGGCTGCAGTATAATTTTGCAAGACTTTTTTTCTCTCTCTGAAGCACCTAAAGGCTCCCAAAGGTAGTTTTTTTTTAACTATCATGTATCTACAATACCTTTTATTGTTTTTATTTTTTTCTGCACTTATTTATCATCATGAAAAAAGTCATGATTCATAAATATTTTAGTTCTTGTTGACGTGTACATTAATCTGTTTTAGTCCCTATTATTGAAAAAGTTCTCTATTGTGAAGAAATTCATAAGAATAAAACACCCAGAGTAAGCCCCTATATTTAAATACACAAGACGAAGCGACAAAGCCACGCATTCCGGTTTCTTTAGAAACTTAATCAGATTGGGTTTTACTTGCCAGATCTAGAATTTATTTGAGGTAAGTGATGATGTTCATGCTGATCATAGCATAAGTAATATAGTTTAGATTTAAGCATATGCTGAACAATGACAACTTGTTACTGAAGTTCAAGTAAAAACTGCGAAACATATTATTCACAACAGACAACGCCCTAAAACATTCTTCATTATTTCTGTAAGAATGCATTTTGCAGAAACAAATGATTCTGGAATGTTTTCCTGTTAACTAGAACAGGCCTAGTACTTAAAGTTATTAATTTAGTTAGAAAATGTTTTATTTTTCTAATATTCTGTACTTTTTTTTAAATATTTCAGATCCACAAATGTGTATTTTAAAAACGACATTCTAGAATTACTGACCTAGATTGCGCCGAGGCGTTTAAACTGCG